GTACAGCGTTGTGTAGGCCAGGTCTACCGCGTAGTCCGCGTAGTCAGTTGAATAGCAAAAGATAGCAAAAGTATCCCCGCGGAGTCTCTTCCGCAGGGAAAACAGCCATTCCGCGTAGTTCGCGTAGGCCCTCCATGTTAGTATAAAGAATTTTATAGTGAAAAAAACAATGCTCAAATGGCAAATTAAATGTAAGTTATATGGAGACTCGGTTTAGACATGGGTGTAGAGGAATGATCCTAAATCATTGCCGCTATAATTTTGAGGTGTTTTAGAGGTAGCCTATGCCCTATACCATAAGCATTCAAGGAACCTAGTCCCACAATTTTGGAATCACGTTCGGCCCCTACATTATTCTCTTCAGGGGTAGCCATGCCACCATGCTTTCAGCTAGTAATTACTGAGCTAATTAGGGGTACACTGAAAGCAGCCCTGCGTCACGTGTCTTTCCACCTTTATCCTTCAGCTTTGAATTAACTTTGCATCTAGCCAGAAGTTTGCGACTGAGATGCGCATTATGTCTTGAAACAAACTACCGTTGCCTTGATAGGAGGAAGTTCTAGCTCAGTAGTTGCAAAAAGTCCTCTCCATAATCTGCCGAAAGGCGGTCCATGAGATGGATATTGAACTAGGCGTGGTGCAATTGTGAGAAGCCTCCCCTCTTTCTAGATCTCCCTACATCTGCTTGTGGTGTCCCAGACTGGCTGGATCACCCCACTTGAGGTGCCCGGTAGCCTTTTCAGCACAAGTCGTTGTTTGAACCAATTTGTCTTCATATCCACATGGCGATGTCCGTTGCCTTCCTTTGCATCATGGCGGTGATCAGGCTCGGTGAGTTTAACCTGCTCCAATCCCTGGCGCCACCAAGTCTTGTGTGTGCATGCGTCCAATTGTTAAACTGTGCTGGTGCACGGCTCCAGGTCAGCGCTGAGCGTTCGAAAGGAGATCCTTCAGCCTGATGGCAAGCACCTTGGAAGGGGTATGTCATGGAACAACCACGCCGCCAGATGCCATACTGACGTAGTGCTGACACCCTAGGACCAGACTTTGAGACAATGCCCGGCTACAAGTGCGAGCTCCTTCATGACGCATGGTGCACTCCTCCAGCTGTGATCCCTGGCAGGGGTAGGTCTGGCTTGCTCGTACGAGCGCCTCATTTGCGCATTTTCTTGAGTCCATGAGCAGCAAAGGAATCCTGGCGACACGTATCGCGAGAACGGCATGGTGAAGTGCTGCACAAGGATCGAGCCTGAGGCGCCCTCCCTGCCCAGCCTGTGGAAGAATCTTGTCAGCGCACTCTAGAGTACTCTGCGGCAACAGCGCCCTGCCAGACAGGTGCAATCTAAGCAAAATCCCATGGACGCTTTTGAGAAGGAGGCATGGACGCCGGAGCCCCCTGAGAGCCTGGCAAAGCAAAGCCCCATGGACGCTTTCGAGAAGGAAAACCAGCTGGAGGCCGCTGAGGAAGTGACCACAACTACCATGCCACCTTCGGATGATGAGAGGACGGCCCTTTGTGGAGTTGCGAGCTTTAAGGCTGAAAGCTTCATGCGTCGAGGTAAGCCAGTAACGGCTTGCCGGAACAAGGATACAGGCAAATTCGCGAAGGCAATTTGCTGCAAGTAAAGCGCAAGAGGTGAAGTGGAAGCCCATCCGCAGTGGACCTAAAATGCAGTCCGTTTCGTACTCGTGCGTTGATATGGCCATGCCGGGAAAATGTTGCAGTTCGAGCTGCCCATGGAAGTGCGCATGTAGGTGCAGGAATCAAGCAATCTCTTCCCCGTCATGACAAACAACCTTGCCCAGGAGATCCTCTAGGATGAAGATGCGGCTCACAGGAGTAGTATGCCCACTTTCCAGGTATGGTTGCAAGATCCATGATGGCGCCTACAACTTTGACGCAAACCTGCTAGCAGCGATAAAAGCAAGAGTACCGCGGAGCCTAAATTATTCCCAATATGGTGGTTCTATAGATTCCTGATACAACTCATTTATAGTATAGGGTGCCCGGGCCCGTTAATTAGAACCAGGAAGTTCTTTCGAGATTTTTCCTTTCCCCCAGACTACCATGGGACCTCAAACACTCAACCCGAACCGAAGGGAACCCCAAGAGGCGGCCTCCAAAGACCACTGACTTTTTTTCAGGACGCCATGTGGGGTTTCGTGTGTGTTTAAAGGAGGGGAAGTCCAAAACTATCCCTGTACTTCTCATAGACCACCATGCATCCTTGCAAACTCCGCATCATCCACCATATCATCCTCAGAAACTCCTATGTAACCCCCTTGAAGCTCTCAAAGAATCCACAGAAGCTCCCATAGGTAGCATCCCCAGGCTGTGCCTATTCTGGGGGGAGCCTGGGCCCTAAACCTTAACCCCCTAAACCCTAAATCCCACAGCCCCAAAAATCCTAAGACGCTAAACCGCCCAAAATCATAAACCCCCCTAAGCCCTGAATCCCTGAAAGCCCCGCCAAGCCCTAAACCCCTAAATCCTGAACCCCCCAAAATAGCAAAACCCTCGCATCAGCCGAGGCATGGCTTGCTATGGCCCTACCGGAGCCCCGCACCCTGCGCTGCGTGTCCCTGCAACAGAGTGAGGCTGGCGCAAGGGGTTGTTGGGGCTTAGAGTTGTGAAAGGGATTTGGAGGCTAGGGTTTTGGGGGAGTTTAGGTGTTTAAGGGTTTAGAGTTTGGGGATTTAGGGCTTAGGGGTTTAAGGGGGTTTCGGGGTTTAAGGGTCTAGAGGTTTTGGATAGCTGGCCTAAGTGGGTGGGATTTCGGGTTTGGTATATTCCTTTCTGTTTTTTTCAAGGGTGTCTGAGCTATTGTTTAAACTCCTTAAAGGGTTACATAGGAGATTATTAAGGAAGTATTAGAGGGGATTTTGAGGGAGACTACGAGTTTAGACTATGGCTCATATAGGGCTCTCTCGAGGGTTAGCAGGGTTTTCGGTGAATACGCGTTGTGAGAAAGTAAAGAGAGCTGACAGGTGTTGATTGGATGGAGGTTGATGGGGTGTTACCATGCGTGCAGGGGTAGGGTACGAGATTCACATATATATATATATATGGACACGGCTTAGGATGTTGAGGTGTAGGTAAGCGCTCGCAGCGAGTCATGACACAGGATGCATGCGCAGGATCAAATCCTAATCCACCCCCAAACCCTAAACCCTGGATCCGCAAGCTCTTCAAACTCCTGAAGCCCATCCTACATTCTCAGTTTACGCGAGAAGTCATGCCTTTGCCACAAGAAGGTCCCATGAACGGTATACGCGTTTTGGGGTATAAAGTTTAGGGTCCCTTTAACAGGGGCCTGACTGATTTCTAAGATTATGGTTCAAGATTCCTTGTTTAGGCTGACACGCAGTTGAGTTCACCGCAGGGAGAGAGAGAGAGATTCCTTGTATGATTAGGGTATAGGGTCACCCTGACCTCAAAATTATGTTGGTATCTATTTAAGCCCCTACATTATGTTCCCTATAAGTTTTCCCACATTAGGCATACCTCGGTGGGGCTCCCCATTTTGAGGTCTATGTTGGGTCCTTCTCATGCATGGAAACTATGATGTGCTGGAAACTGCCAGGCAATCCACATCTAGTCCTAAGAATAAAGGGATTGTAACAGGGACCCCAAACAGGAAACTCCAAGAATACAGTAGGCATATAATAGGAATATAAGGACCTTAGTAGATATATTCCCATGAAATTCTTGCTATATTCTTGGGATTCCCTGTTTGAGGCTTCCCGTTAAAGACCCTAAATCCTAAACCCTAAACCCCTAAACCCCTAAACCCCTAAACCCTAAACCCTAAACCCTAAACCGCAGAAGCCTACAGCAAGCCAGGTCACCTGCTGCAGAGCTCTTCGGATCAACCTGGAAATTTGGGATGGCCAAGGACAGTTGCGAGTAACATGCGGTCTAGGGTTCTGGGTTCACGGTTTAGGGTTCAGGGTTTTGGGGTTTAGGGTTTAGGGATGGCCAATTCCAGTTGCGAGCCGCACTCGCCCCCCTTCCCCGCTTGGGAAGTCCTTGGGTACCTATAATCTACTTCTACTTGCAGTTGTAACCAAATTGTAGTACCTAGAACCTACTGCTACTTGTACTTATGAAACAAGTGGGGAACATTTAACTTGTGGGTGCACGTGGGGAGGCTGGGGAGGTGTTTTTGAGAGTCAGGGGCCATAGCACCTATATTTTGTAGTCTTTCGCTTAGGAAATGAAAGTGACACTGATCCATTGTAAAGAGTAGTCATTGCCAGGCTACTAGCAGTGCATCCTTTACAGGGGGGCATTAGTATCATTATGAAGAGCAGTCATGGTCATGATGTCACTGGCAGCGATTTTAGATTCCTGTTGTTAGCATTTTAATTCTTATCATCCTTTTTTTTTATGATCGTCGATGTCCATTTGGTTCTGGTATTGAAGTTTCAATGATGCTTATGATTCGTATTGCTGAAAATTGTAATTGTGATTGTTGCTATTCTTATCATAACTTAGGTGGACCCCCCCCCCCACCCTGTAATTGTGGTATAATTGGAATATAAGTGGACCCTAATATAATCACCGATGCCCCTTACAGTCATTATTCCTGGGTGGGGGATCCACAGAAATCAAAATTATCACAATTTGAGGCACCCTAAACACTAAACCTATTCTAGCTGCCGCAGGAGGATGGCAGCTAGCCCATACCTGGGAAGTTCCCAGTGAAGGGAGGCTGTTGGGCTACAACCTTGCCCCTTTGGCGGAATGAAGCTAGGCCTCTAGGGTATTGGGTTTAGGTGGGTTCAGGGGCTAAGGGGTTTTGAGGCCTAGGGCCACGGAAGTATGGTTCCGACATTTAGGATTTCTCGTGCAGATGACAGCTTCTGAAGTAGCAGCTTTGTCTTTCAAGGGCATCCCAGCAACCACGTCAAAGAGAAGAACATTATGGAAGTGTGGATGCGGCTATGGCATGGCCTCCAGAATTTTCAAAATCAGTACTTGTGACGCGATGAAGACCTTCAAATCACTCGATGTACGTGCCCGCTTGCATGCTTCAGACAGAGTCGTGGGGTTATAGGGTTCCCCCGACACCCACCCGTACAGTCCGCTCCCCACTGAGCAGCACTGGTAGCGGCCGAGTTCTGGTTTGTTTCAGACGCATCATGCACTGCCCCCGCGGACCTCCATATGGTCACTGAACCACTGAAGAAAGGGGGTGGGTGGAGTTGAGACCGCCCTCCTCACAGTTCCCCGTCTCAGTTCTAAGACCACCAGAAATCCTGAAGTGGTAGCATTGTGAGGTAGTGCCCAACTCTTGCACGGCCGGTCTGGATGTCGGCAGCCTGTGCTGCAATTCAGAATGCAGATCTCTGCAGTGTGATGAGCTGTGCGTCCTCACGGTTAGATTTGTCAGGATCAGGGAGGCATGGTACGTTTGTACAGCCTCACCCTTACCATGTTGGAGTATACAGCGCGCAGGCTACGTACAGCACTTCAGGCGGGCATTCGCAGATTGTGTACAAAGGCCACAGCCTGCACTACTTAACGCAAGGAATCAGACGGCAATGCTAATGATGTAGTGCAAACCTCAAGCGCCAAATCGTAGCCGTGCCATTTGTTGGTGACATACCAAGCCAGTCGGTTCAATACCCCGAAACTCCCCTGCAGAGCTGAGGGAGCCCCGACGATCTAGCTGGAAATCTTCGTATTCTCTGGGCACCCTAAACCCTATAGTCCCCCTTAAGTAGATAAAATATGGGGTACATGGGAACTGATTATATATCATACCCAAAGCCATATTCTATCTACTTAAGGGGGACTATAACCCTGAACCCTACACCCTAAATCCTAAACCCTAAACCCTATATTCTATCTACTTAAGGGTGACTATAAACCTCTGAGGCGCTGGCATCCAGCACGACTGCACCGGTGCACCCGTGATTGGCCTCAAGGTATTTTGGCGGCAAATTCTGTTTAGTGCCGTAATCCCCTCCCCTAACAATAAACCCCCTCACCCCCCCCTGATATGAGATAGTATCCCAATATATGAAAATACGCCACAATGGGGAGTATTTATTATTTGTGGGGGTTTGCGGGGGTTGTAATATTAGGGGGGTATACCACGATGGATATATTAAGGGTGTGGGGTTTTAATATCGGGGGAGGGGAGTAGCCAAAGAGTCTCCCAAGGGTTTAGGGTTTTAGAATCTTTCAACTCAAGTTGGAACCAGGGTTTCAGCGACCTTTTATGGGAGCACAGTATCTACCTGTGTATCTATAGTTTTTTTATTTGCTGATTAACATTTGGGTTTCGCCTTTTGGTTTGTATTTTTATCCCTCAAATCCTGCAGTTGATAGAGCCCCAAGCCCGGGCTGCATCTAAAACCCTAAGCCCTAAACCTGAGACTTAAACAGACTTGGCTAACCCCCCATGAACAAGCCCCCTCCCCTTAATAGGGACTATAATAGGGATCCTATATTAAGGCCCTTAAAAGGAGAGGGTTTATTAATCATGGGTCTACATTAAGGGCCAGGACTATCCATTCCCAAATCCTAGGCTGAACCCTCAATGTTCCCTACACAGCCTCATAGTTAACAAGCCCAGCTGTTGGCAATGTCGAAAGGGTCCTGTTGTCAGAAACTT